TCAGCAGTAGAACCCTATATTTTTAGCCTCCTAGAAGAGCCAAGAAAAATATGAATCTAATACTCCTTATCACAAGGCTCAGCAGAGGTGGCGTTTTCACCCGCTGAATGTCGTTTTCTTAGAGAAAAGCAGAAGGGAACTCGTAGAGTTCCCACGAGTGGTTCGCGGAAATCTGGCTTAATAATAGTGGGCGAAAGCTAATTTTTGGTAAGACTTAATCCAACATAGACGTCATTTCACAAGTAACAAGTAGATTAACACTTTACAAACAGGATAAGTGCTCAAACCTGTGTGCAGATGATCTCAACTTGTTAAAACACAATTTTTATGCACAAAAATAAATAATGTTTGTTTACAACCGGTAAGCAAAACTGAGCCACCAAATTTGGTGTATAGCTTCGCGACACGATGAAAAGGAAAGTATGAAAAATTGTGAAAGAATTGTGTGAATGGAAGGAGTTGTAAATGTTTTTCTAATTTAGGTTGCTCCCGCGCAATCTGGAAGCACCATGAGGTTGCGCGGAGCCAAACAAAGTCATAATTTCCCTTTTTCACATGTTTTTCCAAATTTTTTACGTAAATCTATTCTTCAGTCCTAAGTATACCTTTGTATACTTATCTTAAGCCAAATTTCGTCTCCTCTGCTTCGCTACGGCCCTTGAATGATATAAAAACAGCTTTTTCACGTGTTGATGTTTCATCTCCGATTTTTCTTATCTACTCTTGACTTCCATTCATTCATCGTTCGTTGCAGATTATTAGCAGCACTTCTACAAACACCACAAAAGGTATCTCATAATCGTCTGAGGTATCTCGAAATCTTGTGCAATGTCAGGGGGACTTCGTTTTCAAAATTCTCAAACGCCACCTCGTGTTGGGCCCTGTCCCTATCCATTCTTGTTAGTTGCCAAAAATATAATATTTCTCATAAAACAGCTGTTGTAGAAAGGTGAAAACACACACCCAAGCTTCTGAAGTCCTGTGGTATACAATGTCAGTGCCAGGACATCTCAGAGTTGTTTTGGAAAAAAAACATGGAATACTTCGTTATTTCAATTTCTGGCTGAGAAAAAAGTACAGTAAGTGCATAGAGAAATGTCTTGAACGAAATGCCAATGCGTGAGCGTTAGAATTTTTGAAGGATTCTCTTAAACTTGACTTTCAATCTTGTCTTGGCTTTTTGGGATCTAGGATCTTTTTCGTTTTTGGCTTCAGTCTTCGCTTGGAACGAAGCTGCAACAAAACTTTGCTCTATCAAGAACTATATCAGAAACTATTCAGGATATGGAAGAAATATGTACTATTGCGGCCTGTATTTATGCCGATATTTTAGTGTAGGAATCATGCATCAACCTAATAATATTGCATGGAAGCATCAATCGAGATTCGTATTACAAAAATATAAGTATTTAAAAAGTTTCGCGTCTCCAAAACAATTCGAAAATTTTTTGCACAACCAAAACACAAATTGTGGAGAGTTCGAGAAGTTAGGAGATGTTCGGTATCTGCGATTGTCGGCGCTCTAATTTTTCATCATTCAAAGAATGATCACATTTGCAGGATCCTTGAAATTGTACGGAGTCATCCGAGACAACATCTTCTCTCTAATACTTCTTTTAAGGGTCTGCGGTTCCAATTCCGCGTTAATCCCTTCCCCCCTCCCCCCAATTCCAAGATTTGCGCAGCGTTTTTGGCTCCTCTACCGTTTTTAACTACGGAAGCGATCTTAGCAGATTGCAATTCTTTGTAGAGCTCTCGAAGCCAGCTGTGGCTCTATGGAATCAGCACTAGAAACTTCACACTCGGCTACCACTGAATTGAAATTCTACTGTTCAGCAACTTCGCTTCGGCGTCAGTTAGTTTCTTTGGTGCGGTCACTCGACATACTACCACCCGCACAAGAACATACCGATTAGTTTCGATGAGTCCATTTTCGCAAAGTGGAAATTCAACTAAGAATGGATTAAAACATTTTGAGAGGGAGAGAGAGAGAGAGAGAAACGAAGCCACGAGGGCAATATTCAGTTCAGTCTAGAGTGTTCCCTTCAAGATCGACAAGCCACCGAGACCCCCACCTCTCCCGATGCGGACGCGCCATCTCGATTTCCGCTGATATTTTTCAACTACAGTACGATCTGCGAACCACATGCAAGTCTATGCTGGACTCTTCCAAGTTGTCATCAGGGTCAAGCGTGGGGTGGCAGGCCACACTGGGGGTCGTATATTCAGGGTCAGAGAGGGGGGGGGGGTCGAAGAGGCAAATGTGGGAGAAAACACAATGAAATGTTCAAAGCAAAAAGAACACACGTTGAGTTGAGTAAACAGATAAACCGATATCTTAAAATAATGGACGTGCTAGTAAACAACACGCCGGAAGTTCTCATTGTGAAAAATCTAGCAATAGTGTTATTGCATCACCACTTACCTATCGTGGACATATCAAAGACACTCTACCAAATATAATGAGTGTAATTTTCGTAACTCTATCGTTGAGGAGGGATTCAGAATATAAAAAACTTTTGCACCCATCTAATACTTATACCAATTGTAGGTGCAAGATTTGAACTGAAGCAGCTATCGCCGATATTAGATGGTAGAAAAAAAAGAACCACCGCAGATAGGCTACCATGAATGTGTGTTTTGATTGATAAGGACAGATTTTTCATGCACAAGTCGTTCATCCCCGCGAAGTGCTTGCTGTTTTCTGGCGAAAAGGGAAGAGAAGGGGAAATGCTTACGGGAGTTTCACAAAGGTACAGGTAATTATTTCCTTGGTCGCATATATTGCTGCCAATTATTAAATTGCTCCACGCGTTTGCATTGTTTCCTTGAGATGGGATGACTTGCGGCAAGATGCTTACACCATCAAAAAGCTAAATATTCTTTTTGAAAGGCATTTATTCGTCTCAACATGAAGCTGTTTTCTCTCATTTTTCGGCTTCTTGAAAAACTGCCAAAAGGCAAAAGAAGCTTCATTGGTAACTGACCTATACCAACCCCTTCAAGACGTCACAACGTAAAGAAAGACGATCGGACGTCCAAATAAGTCTATGGGGGGAGGGGGGGGGGAGTTTCTACTGCCCAGCTCTTTTTGGCACTATGGGGAAAGTTTTTGTAGGGAAATAGGATAAGGCTGTCCTCAAGTCACTATGCGACAAAGAAAAAAATGCTTTGTTCTAAAGAAGCGCCACAGCTAGGCTGGGCACGGTGCATACGTGATCATAACAATAGATGTTTCTTGAAACCGAAAGAAATCTACTCTGGAAGGCTGAACTACTAAACAAGAGCCAACGGTTGACTACGATCTGTACGCTACCCTGCATTTCAAAGGATGTCATACCTAGAGTACAGCACAGATGAACTGGAGTCATCAACTAGATTTCGTTTTCATGACAAAGAGCAAAACGATTATAGTAGAACATACTAAGTGGCACACTCGGCTCCGCCCGGCTCTATCAATACACTATGGATAGAAATCAGTACGCCTTATTTCCGCACAGCATTCCTCTGCCACGGTCACCCCTATACAAGTACTTTGCCTCCACTATGCTTTCGTAATCAGCAAGTTCACTTACCCCCGTGTGCCCAATCCCAGCGCTGTAGCTAGAACTTTGCAAAAAAATTGTTAAAATTGATTAAGACAATCGATAATTGCTAAAACTAATTGTGTATTAGTAATCAGGATGCTCTCTTACCCCACCCCCATACCAACTTCCAGCCTCGTAGCTCAAACTTTGCAAAAAATCGATAAAAATCGATGAAACCGATGATCGATAACGAAAACTAGTAACTTACGACACCAGCAGTTCAGTTCGATGACTGAGACATATTTGTCGTGTTTTAGGTCTAAGTTTTCTTTTTGTCCTGGTAGCTATGGCTAGCCTAAGGAAACTGCCGAATATATTTTTTTACCGAGCTTATTTCCATTTTTCCTATTGAGTTTATGGCTCATTCAGTATGTTTGGTCGTGCAAGGGTTGCCTGGTTTGTTGCGCTAGCATCCCCTTTTCATAGTATCTCCGTCATACTCCTTTAATATTGGTCGCTTGCTGGTCAGCGAGGGTGGCATGCGCAGACTCAGTATTCTTTATGGCAGCGCTTCTGATAGTTCATCCATGCGCTCTATCTTTCATTAGAGTGTGAACCTGCGAATGGTCTCAAAAAAGCATTCTTATTTTTCTGCGTTAAACCTTTTTATTTCTGTGTTTTTGTACTACAAACACTGATTTTTTTTCAAGAATCTGTTAATTACTAACCCGACACTATGGCGCGCTTGTGGCGCATTCAAATGAATGAATGAATAAATGAACATATAAATAAACTCAAGCTTTGGTCAAATGGATAAGTTTGCAATTCAGCCCACAAGGCCATGGTTCGAGACCGGCTAGCGACACCATCTTTGCTGTACTGTCGGGCTCTCTTTGATAGAGGCCACTATCAAAAAAATTAACGATGACCTCCATCAAAAATTCCTTGCATATGGATGGGCAGAACAAAGTTACGACTATGTCGATATGAATCTTGAAGAAATTGCTGAAACTTGAATATAATAAAGTGAATGAAGAAATTTTTCCATGAAGCTATTAAGATCGTAATCCCTGCTACAGAAGCAAAAAACCTTTCTTCTTGCATTTCTGGCTGCAATCAGCCGTTCATCTTTCATCATTCATTATGAAGAGGAAATTTGTGCAATTTAGCGCGTTTTTGTACCCCAGCGTTACAAAAGAAGTGCGCTATAACTCGCGAGCAACCCACCGCATTTTCTCCGATTTTCTTCGTTTGCACACGGTTGCATAGAATCAACTCAAAACAAACGTTGACAAAGTGAGGTGCGATCACCGCGGCAGCTGACCGGATTTTCACTTGCGAGGTCATGCTGTATTCTTATAGTAAGAGCGATTGAGCTTATGACTCACAAATGTGGCCGCGGTTTAGATTAACTAACTACGACCAATCTTTATTACGGGTCAAAGCATGCATTTTCATTTTGAGTCATTGCAGTGCTAGCATGGGCTTATGTCACTGGGGCACCTATAGTGTTCCCAATAGCGGCTGTCTTTCAAACATCGTCAGTATACTTCTGTGTAGCTGCAGCTGTGGACTGCTTCATAGCCGTTGTCCTACCGGAATCCGTCCGGCAGCTCTATTGTACACCAAGGTAACTTTTTAAATTCTATTTTTGGTATCTTTATGACGCTTAATCCAGGCGTGCAAAAGTGACGTGCACTTGTATAATGGTAATCTGCTTTCTCTACAATATTCCACATTTCTTCGAGCTCGAAAAGGTGAGTTTCCATTGTTATCCCGAAGAGGAAAGCATGCATGATTCAACTGCAGCTCATCCGACATGTTCGTGGAGCTGTGCATTTCTCACAAGCGCTAACAATCGAGCACTCTTCATTTTTGCTCGCCTGATTTTCGAATGACTATTAATGCAAAATATGCTGGGGGCATACTTCAGACATCTGAAAAGTAATAGAATGTCCTGCAGTGTAGAGAGGAAAGTTGCTAAAAGATTTAGGTTACTTGGTTTGAAAACTCACTTTAATTTACATCTTATCATTCAAATATGTGTAGTTTAAAGGCTGGTACAAAATGAACCATGTCTTGCAAATTTTTGCTTTGACCATAACTCGGTATGTATTAGTTATTTGTCATTCACAGGCGCACTAAAACCATTGAAAATCAAAAAAATAATAACAACTAGAGACCACTGAAGTACTAATGCTTTCGCAACATGATACATTTGCATACATATCAGAGAGGAGAAAACGATAAAAAAATTTCTTTTCTGTAGTTCGAAATTAAACAAACCATGATCTCATTCAGTTTCATTGATATGGCTGATGACATGCTTACATTGTAACTGCAATCAGATAATGCAAGTGCAAAAAAGCAATACAAGGAATTTTGAATTTTTTCACCGTGTTTGAGAATATTTGTGCTAGGGCCTTTATTCCAACTTATAATTTTTTTGTATTGTTTTGTATTGAATAGCTGAGCGTTTTTACAAAAAGCATCAATAAGATGTCCTACTTCCATGCTTACAAAATTAAGTTTTGGCATTTTTAAAAGATTCTTTTTATCATAAAGTGGTCCAATTACCCATCTCGATGCTTGAAAAAGAGAATAATTTTGAGAAATATAATATAACAAAGTCCACAAGAGAGTGTTCATTTGCGTCCTTGAATTTCCTACCACGAAAATGATTGCAACCAATTATTGGTTTGAGTGCGAGTGTCGACTTCTGTGAAATTTCAGCAGATAAAGACAGTTCAAGCCGTTATTAGAAAGGATGTGAAAAGAGCATCTAAATATCAAACGAGATTTGTTGAATGAAAACATAATGATCAGTTGTTCCGAGGAGGACTTAGAGAAACTCGTTTTGATTAGCTATCACGTGGAGGAATCTTAGAGGATATTAATAGTTTTAAGGGCGAACCTTGAGATATCTGATTCAACAAAGTTGTTTGCAAATCTCTTCTCATTTTTAATGCTTTGAAAATCGTTTTTGATTTTCAGAATATTAAAAATATTAAATACATACAAATTTAATGCATGATTCATATTCCAGTCAAATATTTGATCTTCTGTAAGTCGCTACATCCGCTGTAAAGAGGCCCGTAGTACCCCCCCCCCCCATCAGTGCATCTCCTCTGCGGCGGGTCAAATTCGATCTCACGGCGCCTCAGGGCGGTATCAAGCGACCATCGCTCCGGATGCAGATCGTTTTGTAAACGTAACTGCCGGGCTGTAAAAGAAAAAACAGTTGTAGTGTTTGTGTAGGTTTGGTCAAATGGTTGAAACTAGTGTGAAACACGCGGCAGCGCAATGGTTCGAGATTGGGTACTGCAACAATTTTTGCTATATCGTCGAGGCAATCTTTGACAGCGGTCACTCAGTAGCGGTCGCTGTTAAAGGCGGTGGATCGGCAAAATCCAATAACTCAGGATTTTAACGCCGTAGGTTCCTTATCGTCTAAGTATGTAAACACACTCCCGGTTGCACAGTATACTTGGGTAATTCGAAAATTTTTCATCGAATGAATGAATATCGAATAAATTCGAAAAGAAAAAATTTCGAATAAACGAATATCGACTAAATTCGAAAATAAGAAATCTCGAATAAACGAATATCGAATAAATTCGAGATTAAAAAATTCTCGAATGAATGAATTTCGAATATATTCGGAAAATCAAAAATATCGAATGATTGAATATCGAATTTATTCGAACATTGGAAGTCGAATTTCGAATAAATATTCGAATGATTTATCGAATAACTAGAGCAAACACATCTCAAACTTGCCGACATATTTGGCTAAAGCCGATCCATTCATAATCAGCACCCTCGTATCCCCTATACCAACTCTTAGCTCAAAATTCTCCAAAAATGTTGAAATGGATAAAATAGATTTCGGTTTTGAACAGCATCCTCATATACCCCCTGTACCAACTCCCAACCTCGTAGCTCAAGATTTTCCAAAAATCGACAAAATATATAAAGTAAGGTTTTATCCATAACCGGCTTCCGCACTTACCCCCTTGTACCAACTTCCAGCCCCCAGCGCAAACTTCTCAAAAAATCGAATTCGAATATTCCGCGAAGCGAGCACGAATGCCCCTATAGCCCCGGGCATACTGCAGGCATTTCAGCGGCGACGTGGTTTGGCAATAGTCAGATTGTCCAAAACTTATTCTAGAAGCTAGAAAGTTGTACGCGGTAAACATTTGTGGTAAGCTGACGTTATGAAGACATCTCGTAGCTGGCAAATCGCGTACGGCGGTCGTAACCGTCTAATCCTCCACTACAACTGCGATGCTGTTTACTCAAAATACACCAACTCGCATAAAACCTCTAAGGTAGCGAATAGAGGCAGTTGTGCAGTGTAACTTATGCGAGCAAAAGTGCTCACTAGTGTGAACTTTGCGTACCACAGGCATGAGCAATGCAAAGAAAGAAAAACAGGCATTTTAAAACATTTTCAATATATGAACTCGGAACATGAGCTTGTTTTATGGCTTTTTTTTTTGCTGATTTGGTGCCAATAGCTGTGCGAACAATGTCATTGATCGAAAAAGCATCATTTGAAATCCACATATGATTTTTTTACTGTCGCAAGCAGTTGGAAGAATGCGACTCTCCATACAGTTCAAAGGTCATAACGGTTGCAAAAGATGCATTACCGAGTTTTGCGAAAAAGAACGCGGACGAAGTGAGCTTGATACTTAGCAGTTGGCTCTGCAACAAAGTCGAATAATTTGAATACGGAGTTCATTCGAATACGAATTCGAATAAACATTCGAATAAAACATTCGAATAAAATCTATTCGAAACTCCGTTTTTTGATTATTCGAGTTTTCGAATAATATTCGAAACCTCGTTTTTTGATTATTCGAGTTTTCGAATAATATTCGAAACCCTGTTTTTGGATTATTCGAGTTTCGAATTTTATTCGAAAACAGAGGAACTCCGAATATCGAATTTCGAATACGAATATATTCGAATGTTTTATTCGAATGATCGAATTTCTATTCGATTCAGACCCAAGTATATTGCACAGCATGCTTTCCCTGCCGAGAAAATCGCTCTCAAACTTACACGCGCAGGCCAATCTTACACGCGTCTGGACGAGTTGGCAATTTCTTTCTCACCATTGGAGGCTGCCCGCCGCAACGCTATAACTACTGGGTCCTGCAACGATTTAGCTTGCCGGCCTTGCTCCACTCGTCCAATTCGAAAGGGAAGGGCATTGAAAATCTTATTTTCGCCGCTTTCAAGCAGAAGCGGATTTTCGGGATCAGCGTATCGAATAACCCCAGGTAAGCGCAAATTTGACTAGGTTGAGATTTGCCGAGCCACTGCCTCTAAGGAGCTTGCCAGGCAAACAAGGAGTTTTGGAAGGTGAACAGAGATATGAATTGCAGTTTGAGTACTTTCTGAAAAAATGAAGATTTGATCGAGATAACCTCAGCGAGATAAATAAAAAAGCTTGGAATCCTACTTTCTGCAACTCGTTCATTAGTTTTTCCTGTTCATATGCGCCTCTAACTGTGCAGTTTCGCACATTTTGTCCGCAAAATTATGCCATTCCGTAAGTTGCTCACTAGCAAATTAAAAATTTTTACTCTGCGTCTTTTTGCAAACACACTGTCTGCATAAGCCGAGCCACCGGCGACGGCTCCTCTTTTGGCAGGCAGCTCAGGTAGTAGCGGGCAGCTGACGGCCGCTAAGCTGTCAGCACAGCATGCATTCTTCTGACACTGGAGAAGAGGGTCGTAAGATTAGCTTACGGATTTCATCTGAAAGGAACCGCTTAGGTCATTTGACTGTGGAGGGGTTATTACGGGCCAATATGTACATTGCTTCATTCTGCGATTGCGCGTTCGTTCTAATAAGCTTTCGCTCCAATTCTAGAAGAGGCATAAAGTCGATTTGGTCACTCTCACTCTTTCATCATTTATCACTGGATATCTGCGAAAAAAGTTTGAGCGTAGAGTATAGTGCAAATAAAACGATGCCAAACGAGCTTTCTTGCAGTTTTGGATAAATGACAAGCAAAATGGTTCTGCCGCGGTTACTTTTCATTTTGATGCCCGCTATATAAACCAGCCGACGGAGATATGGAGCATGGAAGGGGAAAGAAATGGATGAGGAAAAAGTATCTGAAAAGACTGTTAACACTATTTACTATTGCCGTTTAGCACGTCCTGGTTCAGCAATTTAAGAATTCACTTGAACAAGTTGAAACAGAGTGAATCCAGAAATACCTGGGTTGGTAGTAAACCTATCGAAACTCAGAGTTATAACTCAGAGTTAACTCTGAGTTATCTCTGAGCTAACGCGCAACTTTTTGACCCCTTTAACAGGTGTTTGAACAGATCAAATCCGGAAAGCGATGATATGGCAGGATTCTCCTTAACACTTAGTTTGTTCCTAGTAGAGCAACATTGTCCAAATCGTCCTGCACAAGAAACACGCCACCAAACGCGCAACTAATGTCTGCAACAACTCTGAGTTTGATGCGCGTTCCAGTCTATCGTGGAACTCAGAGATAACTCTGAGTTTGGTCAGAGAAAGAGAAATAGCGCGCAAAAAAAGAGGGGCAGCTAAAACACTCTCCGGGGTACATTTTGCTCGTAGTTTAAGCAGGCATGATGGGGGTATCGTGGTACGCAGTGATTTACAAAATTTTGAAATTTTGTAAAAACTTGGCCCAGGGGTTATTCTTTGCGCTGGTCACGCATATGGTACCCATTTTTCACTAAGGGGTCATGTAGAGGTGTTACGGTAGGTTTACGGTAGATGGGAGAAAATCACAGAACTGATCGAAACTTGGTACATTGGGGTTATTGGGGCGCCGATAACGAATATGACATGCAGATTATACGGTGGTGTCATCTGACGAGGTTACGGTAGGTTTGCGGTAGATAGGAGAAAATCACGAAACTGATCGAAACTTGGTACACTGGGGTTATTCGGGGCGCCGATAACGAATATGACATGCAGATTATACGGTGGTGTCATCTGACGGGGTTACGGTAGGTTTACGGTAGCTGAACTAAAGCGGCGGAATTAGCCGAATTTGGTACACTGGAGTTATTCGGGATGCAGATTACTGACAATCTATTAGCTACATACGCTGGTGACATATGGAACGGTTACGGTAGCTATACGGTAAGTGAGCCGAAATCATGGAAGGGCAGACTTTGCCCGGAGGATTTATTCTGTGCGCAAATCCTAATAGTCAATTCTTATCATTGCGTATGCCATCCGCTTTCTCTATTGTTTGAAGCTTTCAGCTGCGCAAAAGACTAATCCTCGTGATGAACTGCCCGATAGAAATGGAAATGAGTGAGGCTTTGGTATAACTTTTTTTGACCTGCTGTTAATGGAATGAGTGAGTACATTATGGCAAAGCAATTTTAAGGTTCATGGGTGTGTCATGGTCTAGCGGTTTAGTGATAGGATCTTTACGCTAGACCATACAGGATCGAGTCCCTACTTTGACGTCGCTTTTGCAGCAAAGTGCTTAACAGCTCCTCAAAGCAAAACTCCGAGCTTGAAAGTTGGAATTCGGAATTACGAAAGCGGAACTCAGAGTTATTTCTGAGTTAACACGGAGCTTCAAACTCGGAGTTTCGACCAGATTACTACCGACCCTGGTTTTTTAATTAGTCTTAGGGCCGTATGCACTAACATCCCTGCGGCGAGGGGAGCGGCATCCCCCATTATGAAGGGGTCGCGTGCGGACGCCGCTACGACTTTTACATCATTGGGGACGTCGCTCCCCTCGCCGCAGGGATGTTAGTGCATTCGGGCCTTAGTGAGTCGACTTCAAGTAGTAAGAATATATAATTTTGAGAGGCAGTGTGTCATAGAGTGGGCCCACTAGCTTTTCTTTTGCAAAATTTGCGAAGTATAATATTAGGGAGAGAAATTGTAGCAAGGTGCGTAACTTTTTTTGGGTTTGCTTCTTACAAAAGGTGTGGAGATACGTTGTATTTTTGTAACGGTGTATTGAAACAAATTTTCTTGCTTGACAAAAATGGCTCCTAATTTGGGACTTTGCATGAATTTTTCTTCATAAAAGTATAGAAAAATTAGCCCTTTGATAGTCTAAAAACATATTTGACTCCATCCCTTTTTGAAAGTGAGGTTGAGAAAGCAAGAGTTCAAGAATGGATGATGAGAAGATGCCTATATTATGGAAAAGTACAGAAAAGTTCTGGGCATAAATAAATCAGGAAGAAACATGCGCAGAGTGTCTAAAGTACCAGAATATTAGCAAACTTTTCCTCTTTGGCATAAAAGTTATGTTCGATGAGGAACTGCTACGTATTTAAAAAAAATTTTAATTCTTAGTCGTAATCTTTGCCGTCACTGTTCTCCTCATAACTTTGCTTATGCTGCCCAACGTTTGGCTCTGGTAAAATTTTCAATAGGGACATTTTTCAAATTTTCTTTCTTAGACCTAAAGCATATTTCCCGCGAATGCTGTCGCTACGTGATCTGTACTGCAACGAATCTTTATAAGTGGTCATAAGCGCTCTCTGCTGACAAGACTTGTTACCTTTGCAACAATCACAAAAGCACGCGTTTATGCATTTGACATCCGCGCATGGCTAATGTGTGAACATCTGAAAAAAGTGCGGAGAGTGTGTCTTAGCCTTAGGCCTAAGGCATACCTCACGCGATTCTTGACGCGGCGCGATTTGGCAACGCTCCAATTGTTCATAACTCATCGTAAGGGGTTTCTGAATCTCCGGAGGGTATTGCATTTTATCAAACTTCAAAAGTTATACATGCTATGCATTTGGAGTCTGCCAGTATTGAATATGAAGAGATCTGGCAAATTGCCAGATCGCGCGGCGACTGAAATCGCCTGAGGTATGCCTTAGGCCTTATGCAGTCAATCAAAGTCACTCCCATAGAATAGGCTTTTGAAGGTAAAGCCGAGGGTATAAAAATTGAGCAAACTCTTTTAAACTCTCAAAAATATCGTTCTAGGTCCCCTGTATAGCTAATGATGAATCTGTAAGTGCACAGATTTGTCCCACAGATATTCGTCTCGACCCGGCATACTATGCTATCTACTACACTTATATGTACACTACATTTTTGGCCATTGGACCTTTGACTTTGCTGATTCTACTCAACATCTGTGTTGTATACACTGTATTGACGAGGAAAACCGAATCAACAGGTATACACTGAATTTTGAGTTCAATACTGCGCTGAATTTGCTTACAGAAGAATCTGACACGATGAGTCTCATCCTTGTTGTATTCTTTTTTATCTTCTGCAACTTTACTGCACTACTAGTCAACTTCATGGAAATAATTCTGAATAATCCGGTAGGGCGAATTTGAATAATTATCAAGCTAAACTGGTGAATTTAGAACATACTGGTCTACTTCGTCGACTTATCGAATTTACTGGTTGTAATAAATGGTACAGCAAATTTCTTCTGCTATTTGATTTTTGGGGCTAGCTTCAGGCGCACACTGCAAAAGGTCAGTGTAAATTTTTCTCGAAAACCAAGGTAATGAAGGTTTTCTTAAGGTCTTGAGCAATCCATGGACAAAACCGAAAGTAATCTGGACAATCAGTGATAGCGAGAAGGCTCCTGACTCGCACCACACCCTTCTCTGAGGTGACACTTGTTCTATGCAAGCTAGCATTAGACGCAATCATGAAAACTTAAAATGTATCCAAGTATTTTAATTGATCAAAATCAAATAAGAATCTTGAGTGAAGTTCTCTCCCCTACATATAGACCATGTCGGAAACATAGGCTACGCTTTGCGGCAATGCTGGAGTGCTCTACTCATTTGCTGATTCGTTTTCCTGCATTTAAGAGTAAATGAAAGCTTGTCATGCTTTAACCAAGCACTTCCCCTGCAAGGAAAGGATATTTGGTGACCGTGGCTATTTGGCTATTTGGCTATGTAATACTGTAAGATGCATCTCGGCTGGTTCTAAATCTGTGCTCGATATCTGCGAAACGATCTTCTGAGGGAAGTTATGAAACTTTTTCGTAGGAAGTTTGCGTATTTTCGGGTAGTTAAAATCACCAAAGTCGTTCTGGGTTACCGTTTGTAGCTATTGAAGGAGTCTCAAGGGAAATACTGTTGTATCATGCCTGTCTAAATATTCAGCATTTGAGGAGAAAAATTTTTATTGGTGATTTTTACCCTCCACAGTAGCGCAAATTACTCATGGAAAAATAATCTTAACTCCATCGTTATCGTTTCGCAAATATGGAAGACAATATTCGAACCAGCATTGAAAGGCCCCTTTTCTCATATACATACCACTACGAATGGCCACTGTCACCAAGTGTTCTCCCCTTGTTAGTCATATAGGCAGAGGTAGTAAAGCTGATTTCAGCATTTAAGTCGGAAAAATTCCAAATCCACCAGTCACTGCGAATCACGCAATTAGACGCCATCAATCCATAAAGCGCTTTTGATGCTCCAGAAATTTTGAAGAAAAATGAGTAAACATTCCTCAGCAAACTAATGTTCTCGGGAAAGACTGGAGCGTTAAGCAAAACAATACAACAATACAACGATTTGTCCGTCTATGCTATGCTTGCATTTGTGAGTGTTGCATGTTCGTTTTCACTGGTTCTTATTCATTCTCGATTCTGTTCTTATTTCAGAAGAGGGCATCTACTTTGTACGCAAATTCAACGTCTTTTCGAAAACGGGATGCAGCACTTCAGCAGCTACGTCAATGAATTATGTGTGGAATCTATCACCGTTCAATCGGGTTACTTAGATATGCTATTTGAATCATGTACACATAGAGATTCTGACTTTGAATGCGTAATGCTATAGCATAGAACCTGCAGCAGAGACCATAATGGCCTTATATGAATGGTGTATCACATAATGTAAAAACGTAAGCATATAGGCTCATGTTACCGGCACAAGAGAATGCTCGATAAGTTGGAATAGAGCACATACTGTCACTGTGCTGAATGTTTTACGGCGAATCTTCCTTCAACATAAATCTTGAGCAATTTACTTGAATGAATTGCAGAAACGGACCTTTGCGATGATCTCACAATATTTTTGCACATTTAAAAAAACGTTACCGTTTACTCTGCAGGAAAAGTGAATGAGGTTAGCAGCAATAGCAGACTAACTCAAGGGATTGTTGTAGATCAGCTGTAAAGCTGTGTTTGAAATTGTAAAGCTGACAACTTTTTGCTTATCCAAAATTTAGCCTCTACGGGTGATGCAGACAACCTTTACTTCATCAAAGAGATGGGCCCGATATCCTGTTTTACGGATAGCTGGCTACAATTTTCCATCTGTCATGCCACTCTCTACAAGAATATCACCGTTATCCAACACCTGGTAATCCGTAAAAATCCGTGAAATATGAGTAGTGATTGAAATAGTGGTCCGTAGTAAACACCCCATCAAGGCATCTCTCTCGACGCGGACCGGAGTTGAGGTCATCGCGCCTCAGTTCAGCATACGGCGAGCTATCAGTTTGGATGCGGATCACTGCCGAGGCATTGCAATCAAGTGAGTACTTGAAAAAGAAGCACTCGAGCTGGTTTGGTCAAACGGGTAAGGAATTACGCGCGTTCGACTCCGTCTACCAACTAGATTTTTGATGCATCGCCGGGCAATTTTTGATAGCGGCCACTTGGCAATCGATGGTGATCGCTATCAAGGACTTCGCCAAGCAAATACACGGATAAAACAAAAACAGTTTGTGACGAAAATTTTATGAAAAAACGAAATGATAGTATCGTGTATTCAATGAAATGAATAAATGAGTTCTCGTCTTGTACAACCAGTGAGAAAAAAATCAGTAAGATTTACAAAAAAGAGAGGAATTTGTTTTTTTTTGTTTTCCTCGCCAAAATCAGCTGTTTATCGATCCTCTCCTTTTCGAGCGCGGTTGTGCAGTTTTGCGCCCATTTTTTCTGCATTTTCTGGCAAAGTTGCGTGTATCGTAAGTTACTCAGGAGCAACTTATGTTAGATGCAGTCAACTCTTGTCTGCGTCTCCTCTTTTACACGCTATTTGCATTCCTCTAACATCCGTTCACGTTCAGTTCAACTCAATGTGAACGGATGTGGAACAGTTGACTGCAGCTGGTGGACAGATGGCCAACTATCAGTTAACTTCCATCTTATAGCATGGGAAGGTGGACCGTCATCAGTTCACCTCACCTAAGCTTAACTGATGGGATAAGTTGAGTTCACCTCAACTGATCAAGCTATACTACGGGCCAGTGTAAAAGTCTAACCATATCCTCGAACACTGATATTTGCCCAAGCACTCCTCCAATGATGAGTATCCATGACAGTTCGATAAATGCTGGAAATGAGGTTAGCTGGCCACTTACACTTGTGAACACGTAGCAAGCATAAAGAAGAGCGATAAATTTGTCTACTGCCTAATCATAAGGTTTTTGGCGCCGCATGTGCCCAAACCACGATGAGAAGGAAATGTCTTTGTTTCAAATTGTCCTAGACGTTTTCTATCTTCAAGTGAAGCATGAGACGTCAAGGTTTGATTAAATTTCTGTTTTTTCAACTAATTGCAATGGAGCAGTATTTTCACAAAAGAATGAGCTGGTTTGGGGCCAAATCGTCCACTTTGCGATTGTGGTTTTCATGTATATAAAGCTACATTTGCATAGATTCTATCGTGGTTGCGACGCCTGCTTCCTTCATTTATTGTATGATGTTACAACAGTCTTTCTATGAGTAAGCTGAGCATTGACACTAAGCAGTACGCTACCTGCTCTAAGACAGCCAACCGGGCCAAGAAGACGCGGTTTGAGGAAATTTACCGCTCAAGTTTGCTTTCTTTTCTGCAGCAGGATATTTCGTTTTGCTACTGTTCCCGATAAATGCTCTTCTACGTATGAAATAAGCATTCATAGGGAGAAAATGGCCATGTTTAGAAATTTACATACTATTTCACCACTTCATAGTATCGATAAACCCATAATCTCAAACGTGAAACACCTGTACATATTGTATTAATCCACTGTAATGCTTGCTTTAAAAAACTGTTGCTTGGAGGGGTATAGCCAGAAAACAGGGGGTGGGGGGGGGGGGGAGGTAAAAGACGATCGTGTGCCGCGTCATTGGTCGACCCTGTCTGAAACCACTTTTAGGCTAGATTCATACTGATCCTTAAGTTGCGGAACGTTGCAGCATACAGTCTGCCCCAATCGGGATCAGGCCGAACCGTCGGCTGAATTTGCGCGCTCGCAGCGCTAGAGGTTTGCGCTGCATAAGCGCGCTGTCGCAGAGAGCGAAGAGATTGAGGAGAGAGCAGACTAGCTAGACGCGGAAGTGGCGCGAAACCCTCGCGGCGCGCACTCCCGCCAATCCAATTTTGGCCTGGTTAGGATTGGGGCAGACTGTACACCCCAATCGGGATCAGGCCGAACCGTCGGCTGAATCTGCGCGCTCGCAGCGCTAGGGATTGCGCTGCATACGCGCGCTCTCGCAAAGAGTGAAGAGATCAAGGAGAGAGCAGACTAGCTAGCCGCAGATGTGGCGCGAAACCCTCGCGGCGAGGACTCCCGCCATGCCGATTTTGGCCTGGTCAGGATTGGGGCAGACTGTAGTTCTACCACTGTGCTGAAACCGTTCCGGAGCTGTGCAGGAACTTTGCTGCACGCGCTGCAGCAGCTCTCATGGGTTTTGAGCGGCGCAAAATGACAATTTTTGAATTTCTTCAGCGGTTTCAATGTAAACTTTGCCCATTTTTGTTTTATTCTTGAATCTTGCTTCTTCTTGTGATGTAGAGGATTACGAACATGGGTCTCGATAATAAAACTTTTATATGTGATATCCTGCCTATATCTATTTTCCTTTGCCCACCCCTTTTCCTCCGTGATTTTCCTGTTAGACGCTCTTTTTGTATTTCAGAGAGTCGCTGCATCTTCAAAATCTTCAGCTTCACAGAGGACTGATACATTTATCAATTGTCAATCTCAATCGAATTTTTCTTTGTGTTTTTATGATATTGGGTTTTTGGGCAAATCAGCCTCATTTCTTTGCTCTCACAACTATTACTGCTTGCTCTTTCGTTCTCGGTTACTGTTCCGCTTGTGATGAAAGAACTCGCAATTTGGAGAAAGATGCACGAAGAGAAGCGGCATTAATTTGTAGCTGTTTTCGATGCCCGAAACAAATAGCGCTCATTCTTGTATCCCTCTCCAAGTTTGGAACTTTTTCAATTGCAAGAGCAAGCGAGATACAAGGATAAGATGAAAGGAGCAAAATTCATTATGAAAACTGTTGAAGAAAGTCAAAAACTGTTCTCTCGCTCCGCTCATAACTCATGCGAGCGGCTGCATCACCACACATTACTGTTCCACCACAGGGCGAGGACTGCTGAAACTTCTCCGCAACTTCGGGATCAGTATGAACCCAGCCTTACGACCAGGGTCGATCAAATAACCGCCATGGGCCAAGTTTTAGCAAAACTAGTTTCTAGCAGGATTTGAAAGGGTTCTCAATATTGGATTACCTAAGTGACTATGTCAAACAAGTGAGCCTACCAAAAAAAGTGCACAGCCATGACGATTTGAGACCTATATTTCATTGTTGTTTACCGTGTAGAGGATCCAGATCCACCGAAGTCTATAGTGGATCCGATAGAGTTGTATCGGTAGACTTGCTCCGCTATTGCTACATGAACAGTTGCGATAGTCGTTCATCCGCACAATAGATGCAGACCACGATAGATGACAGCCAGTTGACAATGGAAAGCTTGGCGACGAATGAGATAAGATGGAGACTAAGAATGAATTGTTTTTCAGTTAAAGGCGCATTTATACAACGGCAATAAACAAGTGATAGACATAAATACATTTTTGAACACAGAAAGAATGTTTCGGTTCCTTTTTTCGATGAGGAAACGGTGCAGGCAAATAGAGAATACAGTTTCTTCACCAAATTTTTGAAACAACCTACGTGAAAACGTACAGATACAACTTGAAATTGCGATCATTCACATGGTTATATAAGTGCTCAAATTCAAGCGAGGGGGCTGCCCGAAAACTGACCTTTAAGGGTTCCTTCACACTACGCCGCAGGAAGCAGCAGCCTGCCGCAGCACGCGGCAGCACGCAACAGCACGCCGCGTCCTGCGGCGTGCGTCGCTGCAGTCGCAGTGGAAATACACGCTCGCAGCAGCAGAGCTTCTCCGGTTATGGATGTATTCTCCCTCCCCCCCCCCTCCCCCTGTTCTTTGCTTGGGCAAAACCATGTAAAACGAAGGGTGTATCGCCCGCGGCGAGTGGTTCTATAAGGAAAGCTTTACGGTCGTGGGAAATCCTCTATACCACACGAATGCCTTTATCGTGGGGGATTGAGTACGATATTCTTGAAACAGCAATTAGGTAACCCTTTGCCAAGGTTTCAGGCAGGTTCATGATTTTTACCCGCTGCCATGTACCCACCGTGACTCTGCGAGAAGGTCTTCAAACGCAAACGCAACGAGAGTGTTTTAAAAGTGGTCAGGAGGTCGAAAAACACTAGACCGAGTTTCAGCCAAAACTGACTAAAAAAGTTTGTCTGCAGTGTATCTACCATAAATTGGTGAAAACACCACCAAATGTAGAAGGTGTATGATACTCGTAATCAGCATTTCAATTAGCCCCCCCCCCCTAAGCAAAGCTTTAGCAATCCATGATTTTAGCTTTTTACGTGTCCCCACCGTAAACTTGGAAAATGGCGCTATCGCGCGAAATGACTACGATATTTGTCATCAGCGGCTCGAATAACCCCATATACCGAGTTTGTTCCATAAGTTCGTAGCGTTTTCATTTTTGTCCTCATATCTGAGGAGCGTTTGATTTGCGGCAAGATGCGTATATCATTTGGAAGGGCTGATTGTGCTCTTCAAAGTCTGTCTATTAATATTGGTGGAAAGCGCTGATTCACACGGATCTCGTAGCTTCCGAAGATGGGAATCTTGAAAGGCAAAAAACAGCAATTTCGACATTTGCGCATTTTTA